CCTTTTTCCCTCTCCAGTCTCTCAAATATCTTCCAGCATGTAACATCCTTTGCTGCTGACCCGTACAATGATATCATAAAAAGCTCAAATTCATCCTTCAATCCTATCTACAAGGATCTTGATGCTATTCTTGCTTCCACTCTTTGCCCTCAACAAAAGATTAAACTTCTATTTTATTTGCCAAGCAGCACCAAACATTCAGACTAAATTCAAAAAGTCAGACCTTGGTCTTCAATCCCCCTAGAGATACCTCTTAGGTATGGCTTTCCATGCCTTCAACAGTGGAGAAAACAACAAAAACAGGATGACCTTAAAAAGGATGCATTTTAGGCTAAACTCAAATGCCAATTTCTGGCCTCAGTAGCTTCAGCTACAGTGGAACTCAGGGCTCAAGATAAAACACAGGTAGAAAAAATGACTAAAAACCTGAGCCCCTCTCCACCATTCTTCAAGTGCAGCAGATAAAGGACACTGGATACAAGCCTGCCCTGACCTGTGGCCATGAATGGGAACTTGTCCCATCTACAACCAAGAGGGCCACTGGAAGTGCAACTGCCCTGTGAGAACGAGTACGTCATCACCTTCCCTACCCTCACAGGCTAAGACATTGCTGCCTTGGACTCATCACCAGCTGATCTGCCCAGCATCACCACTGAAGAGGATAGACAAGGCTTGGGGCCTGCAGGCTCCACCAAATTATCTCTCCAAGAGCCCCATGTCTCACTGGATGTCTCAAGTAAAACTGTCTCTTTTCTTGTTGACAGAGGCCACCTATGGTATTCTTCCTGAGTTTTCAGGGCAGTGTTTCTGCTCTGCAGGCTCTCTTATGGGAATTGACAGCCAGCTTACATGATCTCCCCAGACAGGACCTACTTCCTGCAGATTCCAAAACTTTTCCATTACACACAACTTCTCAGTATCCCAAACTATCCTGTACCTCTTTTTGATAATCTGCTCCAAAAACTCAGTTTCTCTTATACTCTCTGCCCATGGGGGTCAGACTCCCAAGCCAACTGTCATGTGCTGCTGAATCAGCCTCTCCCCTTCCCTCCTCCACTGTCAACCCTACAGTCTGAGACATCTCCAATCCTATTCATGCCAACACATTACTTGTAATTCACCTCAAACACCCCTCACTTTCCCCATATCCAATAGCCCCTAAACATCAACAGGGGCTCAAACCTATAATCTGCTGCTTATTATCTAATGGGTCTCCAAAAGTCACTCACTCACCCTTCAACTCCACTATTGTCCCTATCCTCACATCCAATGGCTTCTATCACGAGTCCAAGATCCTGGAGATACTAAAAATGCAATTGATAGTGTCAGTTCATCTGGTGGTGCCAAATGCTTACGCTATACTCTCATTTTTCTTTGTGTACCTTTCACTTTTCTGTATTATACCTTAATGATACATTTTTAACTATTTCCTGACACCTCAATTGCCAAGATTTCTTTGCCTTTCCATGGACAAATCCAGACACTGCAATCTACACAACTTATTTAGAGTCCTACCTCAAGGCTTCATGGACACTCCACACTTCAGCTGAGCCCCTGCTGCTGATCTCGTGGCTCTCAACCTTTTTTTTTTTGTGGCTCTCAATCTTAAACCTGACTTTCTTCTCCAATATACAGATGAGCTTCTCCTCTATTCTCCAGTCTATCCTCTAACTACATAACATCCAGCTACCTTTCTCAACTATCTCTCAAGTTTCAAACATAGGGTGTTCCCTACTAAAGCCCAAATAGCTTCACCAAAGATTAAATACCTGAGTCTCACTCTCATCCCCACCTATAACCTCAGACCACAGAGCCCATCTCCATGATCTCCAGGTGCTAACTTCAAAACAAGTTTTATCTTTTCTAGATTTAAAAACTTCTTTTATCTCTGGATCCCTTACTTTGCTACACTAGCCCAACCTTTATAAAAGCATCCACAGGTTCTTTATCAGAAGCCTCACATCCACTACTCCTATTTCTCATTTTCTAAATTAAAAGAGGCTGTTTCAAAGGCCCAAGCTCTCATTCTCCTTAGGCCAACCCAAGATTTCTACCACTCAAGATCATAATGCTGTAGGAGTTTTAGTACACACACACACACACACACACACACACACACACACACACACACCCTTCTTTCCAAGCAGTAGCCTATCTCTCAAAACAGACAACATGATACAAAGCTGACCTCCTGCCTTTCTCCACTTGCTTCAGCAGCCTCACTAAGACAAGGGGCCAAAGAGTTCACTTTAAAACAGTCAATTATTGTCCACCTACCCCATTGCTCCAGTGACCTTATTTTACACAAGATATTTCCTGCCTTAATGACGTCTCACCTACAAGTTGACTTAATTCTTATACAGGATCCTACAATCACCATCTCTGTTAATATCTCCCTGAACCAAGCCACCTTACTTCCCACCTCTGACGAGACCCCTTACACAATTATAGTGAGGTCCTGCAGATGACTCCTACTCCCTTCCCTCACATTAACAGTATTCATCTCCCTACAGCTTCTGATACACAGTTCATAGATGACAATACAGCCAACACAAACCCTCAAAAGAGGACAAAATATTCTATAATCAAAGGCTTCAAGTCATAGAGGCAAGCTCACTGCCACTCAAAACATCTTCCCAGAAAAGAAAACTAATTGCCCTCACATGGGACCTCACACTAATGACAAAATCATAAATATCTATACTGACTCCAAATATACATTCAACATACTTTACTCTCATACTATGTAACAAATATGAGATCTAAGTAATCACAAGGGACCCCTAATCACTAATACACCTCTCATTCTTAATTTGTTAGAGACAACACAACTTCCAAAACAAGTAACAATCATTCACTATAAGGGACACCAAACATCATCAGGTCTATCTGTCAGGATAGTACCTGTGTGAACACACAGGCTAAATTAACTACACAACAACAATATGTCTCTCGTCTTTCCCCCCTTATCCCAAACACATTGACTTCACTTCAATATTCATCTATACAGTGACAGTTAATTCACAAACCCACAAGTTCTTCCTCCCAGATCAATGTTTTAGACCTCATCACTAACATACATAACTGCTTTCATCTAGACAGTCAAGCCCTATATAAACTACTAAGTCTACTCACTACTCATTCCTCTCTAAAAATATTCATCAGGTCACTCACAGCTGTTTTGTGCCAAAACCTCTCCTCAGAGACATTTATCTGCTTTCCCAACCTATCAACTTTGTGAACACACTCCAAATAAAGACTAATAGATTTTACACATGTGCCTCATCATAAGACCTACACACCTCCACCTCACCCGTTCATAGCCCAGTGTTCTGTTACTCTCTTTACTTCCTTGGCATTTTTTACTGCTGGTCCTCATACTGCTGCTGTCATACTTCAATCTCTCCCTACAACACCAAAACTTTTATTGTTCACTAAAATTTTAGATTCAAACACCTTACACTGCCTAAAACAAAGCCTTCGGTCTTACTTCCTCTTCCACTACTCCTATTCATTCTCCTTCTAGGACACACGGCCTTACTGACAGTCTACTGCACAGTTTTCAACCTCACTATTCCTTTCTCCCACATAAATCCCAGCCTAAAATCTCAAGTTCAAATAAAAATTCTCCAATATTACAACACACAACAAATAACCCCAGCTCAAACCCAGCATCTCCCTACCTTTTCCATAATGCCCACATCTTCACCCCAACATCTCCAAATCTGAAAACAAAACCTGTATGATGATTAACTACCTGGCCATCCCCAGGCTAGCACAAACCCATGGGCCAGCATACTAGGAAGACCTGGTGAGCATGCGCAGAACCTACAGAGACATGCATTGCAGAGAAGGTTAGGTTCCTTGCTCGGGGGCCGTGCACGTGCAGAAGCGGTTAGGCTGCTTGCCCGGGGGCCCGTGCACGTGCAGAAGCGGTTAGGCTGCTTGCCCGGGGGCCCGTGCACGTGCAGAAGCGGTTAGGCTGCTTGCCCGGGGGCCCGTGCACGTGCAGAAGCGGTTAGGCTGCTTGCCCGGGGGCCCGTGCACGTGCAGAAGCGGTTAGGCTGCTTGCCCGGGGGCCCGTGCACGTGCAGAAGCGGTTAGGCTGCTTGCCCGGGGGCCCGTGCACGTGCAGAAGCGGTTAGGCTGCTTGCCCGGGGGCCCGTGCACGTGCAGAAGCGGTTAGGCTGCTTGCCCGGGGGCCCGTGCACGTGCAGAAGCGGTTAGGCTGCTTGCCCGGGGGCCCGTGCACGTGCAGAAGCGGTTAGGCTGCTTGCCCGGGGGCCCGTGCACGTGCAGAAGCGGTTAGGCTGCTTGCCCGGGGGCCCGTGCACGTGCAGAAGCGGTTAGGCTGCTTGCCCGGGGGCCCGTGCACGTGCAGAAGCGGTTAGGCTGCTTGCCCGGGGGCCCGTGCACGTGCAGAAGCGGTTAGGCTGCTTGCCCGGGGGCCCGTGCACGTGCAGAAGCGGTTAGGCTGCTTGCCCGGGGGCCCGTGCACGTGCAGAAGCGGTTAGGCTGCTTGCCCGGGGGCCCGTGCACGTGCAGAAGCGGTTAGGCTGCTTGCCCGGGGGCCCGTGCACGTGCAGAAGCGGTTAGGCTGCTTGCCCGGGGGCCCGTGCACGTGCAGAAGCGGTTAGGCTGCTTGCCCGGGGGCCCGTGCACGTGCAGAAGCGGTTAGGCTGCTTGCCCGGGGGCCCGTGCACGTGCAGAAGCGGTTAGGCTGCTTGCCCGGGGGCCCGTGCACGTGCAGAAGCGGTTAGGCTGCTTGCCCGGGGGCCCGTGCACGTGCAGAAGCGGTTAGGCTGCTTGCCCGGGGGCCCGTGCACGTGCAGAAGCGGTTAGGCTGCTTGCCCGGGGGCCCGTGCACGTGCAGAAGCGGTTAGGCTGCTTGCCGGGGGCCCGTGCACGTGCAGAAGCGGTTAGGCTGCTTGCCCGGGGGCCCGTGCACGTGCAGAAGCGGTTAGGCTGCTTGCCCGGGGGCCCGTGCACGTGCAGAAGCGGTTAGGCTGCTTGCCCGGGGGCCGTGCACGGGCCGTGCACGTGCAGAAGCGGTTAGGCTTCTTACTCAGAAGCGGAGCGGGTGAGGTGGTTGCGATTCTTGCTCAGGACTTGTGCAAATGCGCATGTACAGGGCCATTAGAGCCTAGACATTGGATAAAAGAGGTTGCTTGGCGTTCATTGAAAGTCAGAGAGGTCAAAGGGGCCTGAGATTCTGCCCGGTGAGGACCGGAAACCGGACGGTCGGAGGAGTCACAGGGCTGCCATGCCAGGCATCTTTGGCAGCTCAGTGCCCAAGCTCCACAAGGCTGCCCGCAAGGGCGACAAGGCCAAGGTGGAGCGTCTCCTCCAGAAATGGAACACGGTTTACAGAGACAGCAAGCAAAGGTAATGGGGCTGCAGGCCCAGGGGCTGTGAGTGGGGCCAGGATGATGCGGGAGAGGAAGAAGTGGGTGAAGCGGGGGCAGGGGGATTCCCACCACCCTGGGAGGCAAAGCTGGCCAGAGAGTCGATCCTCAGGTGGTGTCCATAAGCTGCAAAATAAAAACCAAACATTCACTGGTTTTTAGTGGACTTATACTTCCTGTGTAGACTACATTATTGACTGCAGAAAAGCTATTTAAACATGGTAACACGTGTATAGAGTTTTATTCTTAGTATCACATTAAGAGATGTACTGTTGTACATATTATTTAAAAAGGGAACTATGACATGTTTCCTGTAATCTACAAACTTAGGGTGGAAACTTAACCTGATGAAAATCTAGTGTCCATTTACTATCAGTGTACACCTGTGCATGTATGTTCTTTACTAAGGAACCTTATAAGAAAACTGAGATGGGAAGGTGACGGCATGTTCTTGACTAGAAAGTTCTGTTAGTCTCAAAATGTGAGCTTTCTGTGTATCAGCTTTATAGAAGCTAAATAAAAAAATCGCATAAGACTTGAGTGTCCGTAGCCTCTTTCGCTATGGGGTCACTAAGAAAATGTAGTGAAAGCCCACCTTCGTAGGTATCACGGTAAGTCATTTTCACAAATTAATTGTTTTCCAACAGCCCAAAAGATAAATAAATGAATGTAACTTAGTAGAAAACCTGGAAACATTCAAATATCTGTCAGATTTTAGAAGTTGAAAAATTGGAATGACTCATGAATGAAATGCCTGTAAAGTGTTTCCAAAAAACCTGGATTTTTATGTCACAAAAGTTTCTGGTGGTGTATTGATTAAAAATTTTATATCATACAAAATGAGAAAAGTGGCAAAGGAAAACACATAGCCTATTTGAGCCTTCCTAAGAATGACACCAACAATGAACATTCATTTTTTTGTGTTGGGGGTTGCTCCTAGAACATGGTGCATGCGAAACACACTACCACTCAGCCATCCCCTTCCCCACCTGCATTCTGAAGGTTGACTACCAAAAGAAAAATTAAATTCTCATTTATATTGGAAAATCATTAACAAAATGAAAAACATACTTGTGAGACATTTATAACAAGGGCCTGGGATATTAACTCAGTGGCACAGTGCCCACATGAAAATGTGAGGTCAGGAGTTAGATTTGCAGTGCCAAAAAAATAAAATAAAATAATAAAATAAAATAAAATAAAGGAGAGATAAATAGATACATCATAAAATACATCATACATCAGATGAAACAAAATCATACATACATACAGCAGATAAAAAAATGTATCTTAAACTTACAGGGTAATTTTTTAAAAATCATCAAAGAAAAATATTGAATACTAATTTACTTCCATGCTAGATAGCAACACTGTGAGCCTCATATCCTGGGCTGTACTGCTGAGCTATATTTAACTCTAAATTATGTGGTTGGTTTGACAAGTGACCTGTAAACATAAAAAGAAATGTTTAATGTCCCTGATAAGGGGAATTTAATTTTACAAAGGAATCAAATGTTTTCCAGTTACAGAGTGTGAGAATGAAGAAAAGTTTATTCTGCTGCTTAAAACTGGAGATGGCTTATGACTTTTTCAAATAGGAAATTTGATATAAGTACTATACCACAGTTTAGGAAAGCATGTCTCCACCAATCAGCTCTCTTCTAGAATATCTTTAGGACATACAGAGACGCATTTAATGTGCATTTCTTCAGTATTGCTTAAAATAGTGATGGATTCACAGAAGAGATTGTATCAGTTGCAGTGCATTCATAGGATGGAGTGATATATAATCACTGAAATTGGCATCACATCAATATATTCTTAACAGGGAAAGATGTACTTTCATATATCCACTGAGCAAAGAGTCAGTTTAATTTTGCATACACACAGATAGGCTGCAGTCTTGTTTTAGACAGAAAATGTATACAAATTGTGGCAAAATTTGTTATTTTCAGGCATTTGACATTTTCTGTTCTTTTTTATTATCGAGAAGTTCATTCTAGTTGTAATATTTAGGAGTTTATTAAATTTTTTCATTCTAACAGTTTCATTGGCCCAGAAACAATGCTGAGTATTCTATATTTTGACATTTTTGTGCCTTGCATTTTGCATGTTATGATTAGTATTGGCAACGGTACTGTGTGCTCTTCTTTCCTTTCTCTTATCCTTGATTTCTATAATAGATATGAAACTCTAGTGAAAGTTGATTATTAATAAAATAATCCTTGAGAAAAACAGAAATATTAGTTAAGCACAGATAATTTTCATTTTTATGTGTGTGTATTGGTATTTCTGATAACTTTTTACTTCTTCTGAAATAAAGAAATTATCTGTATGTATAGATTTTACTATGAATCATGTGATGATGCCTTACGAAGAAACCTTTTTAAAAGCCACTGCTGTGGGATTTTCACATGGAGAGGCAGGGCACTCCAGCTGCCCAAGTAGGCAGCTTCATTGGTGCTGACACTAACTCAGCAGATTCATGATTAACATGGTATAGTTGCCCCCTTTTATACAATTTTTGTCTTTTCATCTCCCTTATATGGGCACATGCAAGGATTTTCCAGTCTGGCCGGTATACCTTAACATTCTATAGGCTGGTTTATGTTATAGTGTTATATCAGTAGCATACACAGAGGCTGATGTTAAAAAAAAGCCCCCCATACTCCAAAGGTCAGGAGGGGCCCTCCCACACCACCAGTTATAGTTACACAAGACCTGTTGTCTTCTGAGCTGTATGTGGCTTTCCAATGACAGAGGTGTTAAAATATGAGAAAAAGTGTCTGGAGGCTTATTGAAATAATTCTAACCCCACAAGGTAGGTCCATTTGAATTATTTTATTTTACTTAATTGAAATATTGCCTTTGTTAAGTAGTAATAGGAGACATTATAGTATCAGACAATTATTGAGCTGTTACTTGTTTGAGAAGTTATTCGAAAAATTTTGTGTGGATTCTTACTTAACCATCACAGTGGTGTCTTGTGAGAGAACTGCTTTCAGTCCTCATTTTGTAGGTAACAATCCCGAGGCACAGAAAGGCTAAGGGATGGCTAGAAAGTAAGAACTTAGAGTAGGAATTAAATTCCAATTGAGCTAAATCCAAGGCCTGCTCTTTCTATTCCAGTGGGTTGCACTAGGCTGGGAGGTAGCGCAGTGCAGGGATCTTGTTTAGTATGTGCAAGACAGCAGCTTCCACCCCCTGCACCACACACAAACGCAGCATCACCCACTTGCTCTTCCATTCACAGGTGAGTAATAAGAGATGCTAAGCATTCTATGTTTTCAAAGATAATTAAATACTTATTGTGAAAGGTATTTAATGTTCACAATTCCATGAATAATTATGAATTTTGAAATGGAGTGCTGTAATTTCCTAATAATCTTTCTGACTGTCCCAGGACTGCTCTGCATTATGCCAGTGCCTATGGCCATCCAGAAGTGGTGAGACTCCTGATACAGAAAAAGTTTGACCTTAATGCCTGGGACAGTGACCATGACACCGCTCTGATTAAGGTAAATAGCAGCCAACAATTTCAGCATGGGAGGGATTGTATTTAAATGCTGAAAATCAAAGTCAGTTGATGTAATTTGAATATAACTCCTTGGCCAGGCATGTGGAAAGTGTGTTTGGAGTTTCTTGAGTTGATGGTGTCTCCTCTGTTACAATACCCACAGGCTGTAAAATGCTACGAGGAAGACTGTGTTAGTATTCTCTTGGAACATGGTGCAAATCCAAATATTGCCAATACCAAGGGCGACACTGCTCTGCATTATGCAGTTTACAGTTCAAAGTCTTCACTAACAGCAAAACTGCTTTCGCATGGTGCCGATGCTGAGGCAAAAAACAAGGTATAGAGCACTGAATTTTCTTTCCAAAGTTTCTGAAATACTTTCCTGTTCACAGTGACATATTGGTTGGTCAGTTCTCCATATTTAGAAGGTCAAGTGTTTCATGGATGGAAATACACTGTTTTAAATAACTTAATAGTTAATGTTTTCACTTTCAATGTTGATAGTTTTAATGAAATGCTAGAGGATGTGAGTTTCTATTATGCACTTACAGCAAGCATTTGTGAAGACACTGAAATTTAAAAAGTAAATCATTTTTCTGTTATTTTTTCCAAATGGTTATATTTTCTTTCTTTTTTTTTTTTGCACTAGTGTAAAACAACACAGGACAGCAAAATTAGCCTCAGAAATAGGTATTATTTTAAAACTTAAACAGAACAACAGTATTTTACAATAAGTGGTAATATTGTTGCTGTTGACAGCTCATAAAAATGATCCATTTTTGATTTGACTTAAATGGGAAAAATGAGAAGGAAAAATAATTAGAAATAATGCAGGCCCATAGAGTTTGCTTTGTTGGTTGGCTGTTTTTGAAAAAATATTTTTTCTGGTTCATGTGCATAGATAAGATCAATTTTTAGGAAAAATACTTTTTTTTCTATTCAGTACTGGAAATTGAACACAGAATATTCATACTGAGCTGCATCTCCTGCTCTTTTGTGTTATGTTTTACTTTGAGGTAGAGTTTCAAATTAGTTGCCTAATTTGAATTTAAACTTGCAATCTGCCTACCTCAGCATTCCATAGTGCAGATAATCTGGTTGTACTCAATTTGGGAATAAAAATTCTTTATTTTTTTCTTTTCTTTTTTCTTTCTTTTTTTCAATACTAGGAATCAAACTCTGGACCTTGCACTTACCAGGCAGGCATGGTGCTGCTGAGCTATATTCCTGTCCTCTTAAAAATTTTTAAATAGTAAAGAGAATGATATAAACCTGAAATTTTAGGAGAACTGGATCAATCCAGTTTTTCACTGGATGCATGGTGATTAAGTGGGAAACAAGGGAAATGAATGAATAATAAAGAGAAGTCCTCTCCTTTTCAGTCAGAAACCGCAACTAAGATAAGAATCTGAATTGTCCTTTCAAACATATGATGTCTTGCTGGGAGCTGGGAGTTAAGGAGCTTGTATGATGAGATCAGTTGTATTTTGAATGTACTAGTCCCTGTTCTGCCCTGTGCCAAGAGGATTAAATGGAGCTTCCATGGAGTACCTGTCTCTCACCTTCCCTCCTTTTGTCTAAATTCTCAACTAGTAAAAAGTAGTGGCTGTGTAGATGAGAGATGAGACTGATGTCATCTTCTAGGTTCTCTAGTCCTCATCTAGACTTGTGCGTTTCTGTGGTCAGGAGAAAGGTTTGAAACAGTTGAGGCTCTGTCCTGGAGATTTGGGTTCAGTAAATGTCTTAAGCCCTGACATGGATATTTCAAAACATTTCCTCAAGATTCTGACGTAGCTCAGAAGCATTTAATGGACAGGCATGTTTAATGGTGAATTCCTAATTCTCAGAAACTGAAGAAATCTCTAGATGAGTTGGATTAAATACCACTTCCTTCTAATCTCTCCTTTCCAATAAAATCAGGCCAACTTTCATTTGTCTTTCTCTACCTCTGTCCATGGGAAGTGAAAAGGAGTATCATCAGTGAAACCTCTTATTTTGCAGAATCCCACCACTTTCCCTCCCATCTGCAGTCATTCACTGCCACTGTGAAGCTCTGTAGAAATTCTCTGATGGTTGAGATTGAATCTTGAAGAATGTCACATCTCTTTATCATCATTAGTGCCTCTCTTTATTATCATTAATGGCCCAGTGTTGACAAATGGTGATTTGCAGGAGTTTGAACAATATCCATCTTGAGCCTGTATTTAGTTGAAGGCATGTGATAGACTATTTCAATGTATTAAGTGACCCCCCTGGTGAAAATCCTTGAAATTGTAAGAACATAGGTGGGAATGTTTTATACATTTTTATTGCTTATTTTTATTTTGTGTGTGTGTGTGTGTGTGTTACTAATGATTGATCCTAGGACTTTTCCATTGAGCTGCATCCCCAGCACTCATCACTCATCACTTTTAAAAATTTGAGACAGTGTCTCACTAAGTTGCAGAGACAGAAATCAAATCTGAACTTGGATCCCTCTTCTTAGCCTCCCAGAATGATAAGATTACAGATGTTCCTGTCCCCTGTCCCGCTGGGAATAGTTTTGATAATTTCCTTTTGGCACTCCTTTTTACCTGCTTAACAGTCAGGGAGAACTGCATACACATGGAGGAAAAGTATGCGTGCTGGAAAAATTATTAAAATAGGTATAATCTTTTTTATTTCATAGCAGGACCTCTCTTTTTGGTAAAACATGATGTTAAGGGAAGAATTTTACATTGTACACAACCATTTGGAAGCACATGCACAGCAAAGATATAAGCAGAACACTATGGACTAAATGTGCCTTTTAGCTCTATGCAATTTGCTTCCATCAACTGAATTCACAATGAAATTTCAGAAAACATCTCCATAATTTGAAGTTGGAGATGCTCACAAAGAAGAGGCTGTGCTGTCTTCAGAGCCCCTGTGACTGTGAGGGTGTGCCCCCTGTACAGGAAGCTCCCATGGCTTATCCAGTTTGCTATTGGCTCAATTCTGTACTTCTTCCTGCCCACTACTGTGCTTCTGTGAGAGTTTCCAGTTCTTAAATGATGGTATATTTTAATGTAGTCAGGAATTTCAGAATATCTTATATTCATTTATAAGGATGTAATCTAGATTTTAGAATGAATATTTTAAAATGGAATGAAGTTTAGAGATTCTTTAAAAAAGGTTTCCCATATACTATAAGTAACCATGTTCCTATTAGAATGCCTGAAGGTATTATTAATTATAATCACAACTGGATAGTTTGTGCATGTTACCAAGAATTTTGTATCTTCTTTTTCAGCCTTATCCCTTAAAAATATAAGCGACTTAGTGAGTTTCATTATGATACAATTTTCATATTGAGAAAATTCATATTGAGAAAATTCTGAGAAAATTTTCATATTATGCAGTGTTAGAATTTGTTCATTATGAGAAAATCCATCTTGAGCAGTATTAGAATTTATTTATTATGGGAAAATGCAAATTAAGCAGTATTAGAATCTTTATTGATGAACTATATTTTACCTCTGATTTCTATAACATTAGTAATTAAAATGGAAACAGAATATAACTTATTAAAAACAATAGCTATGCTGCGTGGGGATCTTAGCATTATCAGCATAAATGACAATTGAAATTTTGTACTGATCTTTTCCACTTTCATCTAGTAATAGGACAGAACCCCATGGATTGTGTAGTAATAAGGGATCCATGTTCACTTGGATCATGTCCTCAGGGACTCCTTGAAAGCTGGAATGGTTAAGAATTGTATTTGGATCCTTACACTAGGTGGAGAATCCAACAAGTTTCTTGCCTAACTCAGAAAAAATTTCCATAGTACTAGAAAGCTCTCAGCTCTGTATCCCTGAAACTGTTAATTCCTCATGTTGATATTTGTCAGAAGAAAAGTAATGTTAAATAGGAGTAAAGCAAAGGTAAAGAGATTTTAATACTGAGGAAATAATGCAGTTTTATAATTTCTCAAACATGATTATCAAATCTGTTGAGACATAGAAGTCATGGAAAATTATTCTTTGGAAGATAGGCTGAGAATTCCTGCCCTAGGGATGATGATTTAACTCATTAATTTAATCCAAATCCTTCAATCATTTTTGACTGTGCATTATGGTTGGAGCTACTGAGAAAAAAGATACAGCCCCTGCCCTGAAGGTGCATTTGATTGAAGCAGGAGATGTTACATAACTCTGAGTACCATGATAAAGGCTGTGATGGAAAGACCCTTGGAACCAGTGACTGGAGCGAGTTGTGACCCTGGGGTTTCTGTAGCCACTGTGGGCAGAGAGCATGCACTGCAGAGGGTATGGCAGGGCAGCACGTGTGGAAGCACTGGGAGTGAGAAGGAAGAGACTGCTGTGTGTTGTTATCTATATCAGGTTAACAGTCAGGGTCCTTCACAAGCTGTTCAGTTCAGCTGAGAAGCAGGCAGTTGTGTGGGTTTTAAATTGTTTCTGCTTCTCCACAGGAAGGCCTCACACCACTTATGCTTGCTCTAAGGGAAAACAGAATGGAAGCGGCAGCATTGTTAAAAAAGACAGAAACAAAGAATGTGGTGAATGAGCCGGAAAGGTATGGTTGTTCTTTTTTTAAACAAGAGTTCAGCAGTGTTGTGGAGTGGTAATAAGTCAAATAAGTCAGTAGCTGAAAGACTACCTTAGTGACTGGTGTATAATGAAAAAGATCAACACAAACCATCAGATAGAAAAATTATTTGGATTGGGCAACATAAGGAATACTGTGCAGTACAAGTCATGTGCTATTATTGAGTAATTTTGACTGATGTCTGCTTTTTAATGAGAAGAATAACTTTTGTAGTAAAACAATAAGGAAAAACACTGTGTATTGCTATGTTCATGGAACTTCCTCAGAGTACAAAACATAAGCCTAAATGCTTCATATAAAAAGGAAAAAGTGTAAATGTTTCTTTTCAGTGATTGAAAATGAGCTAGTAATATAAACAAGTTGGCACATAAAATATTTAGAGAAGCAAAATATGCAATTTGGAGAAGTATGCTCATATAAGAGAAACCAGAAAATATTTGAACTTGTGTTTCAGACTTATTTCAAAGAACTTTATATCCTCAAGTTGCATTCATTTATCTATGAGTTCCTCAAGGTTATCTTTCTTTTTCATAGTGCAGTATTCCATTGTGTATAATTGCCATTTTCCTTGTACATTATTCTCTTAATGGATGTACACACTATTTTAGAGATGTAGCTGTTAGAAATTGTGCTGCTGTAAACATAGATATATATATATATCCCTGTATGTATGATTTTAACTATTTTGGAAGATTTCTGCAAGGGGACGTAGCTGTCTCAAGTGGATTTCTATTTTCAGTTTTTTGCGGAAACACCACACTCTTTCCTGTAGTGTTCATACTGGTTTATATTCGCACCACCGTTGTAGAAAAATCCTTCATTCTCATCACCATTTATCATTAGATTTTTTTCATGGAAATCTTTCTAAGATAAAATGCTATCTTTGTGTATTTTTAATTTGCATTTATGTAATTTCCAGAAGCAATGATGAGTTTTCCATGTTTTTATTGGCCATTTGTACTTCTAACAAGTATCATTTCATTTCATTTGTCTGTTCTTTTGAGTTTTCTTTGGTAGGTCTATACTTTGATGCTTGTCCTCTGCCTGTGGAGTGGCTAATGAAAGTATTTTTTTTTTCCAATCTGAAGATTGTCTCCTCATTCTGTTGGTTGTTTCCTTTGCAATGGAGAAGCTTTTTAATTTCATGAGACTCCATTTGTTGCTTGTCTATATTGTATTTTGTGCCATTAGGGTTTTGTTCAGAAAGTCCTTGCATGCCTGTGTCTTTGAGTACTGCCCATTTTGTCTTCCAGAAGATTGCTTCTGTTTTAACATTTAGTTCTTTGGCCCATTTTGGTTATAGTTTAGTACATGGTGAGATATGTGGATCTAGTCTCAATCTGTTGCACGTAGGTATCCAATTTTCCCAGCACCATCCCTGAAAGAATATCTTTACTCTGGTATGTTTTTGACTCCTTTGTCAAAGATCACCCAGCGCTCTGGCTCTGTGTGCTTTGAGTTGTCTCTGTTGTGCTCTCTTCAACTGATGCACATGCCTGTTTCTATGTCAGTACCATGTGGGTTTCATCACTGTAACTTTATAGTGTAGCTCTGAGCTTGGGATTATGATGCCACCTGCTTTGCTTTTGTTACTCAGGATTGCTTTTGGTAGTCTGAGTCTCTTCTAATTTCCCCCAATTTTAGGATTGTTCCATTAGCTCTGTGATAATTGACTTTGGTATTTAGCTTGGGGTTGCACCAAGTATGTTTACCAATATTGAAAGTCAGGCCATTTTGACAGTATCGATTCTGTCTATCCAGAAATGAGGACTATTTTTTCATTTTGTGATATTTTCAGGTGCCTAGTTTTGAGTGGTGTAATTTTCACTATACAATGCTTTGCTTTCTTAAGCTAACACCTATCTATTTAAGTTTTTTTAAATGTTGTCATCAATGATATTATTTTTCTAATTGCTTTTTCAGTGGGTTCTTCAATTTTTTTAATTAAAGAGAAAAAAGAAAGGAAATAAAATAAACAAAGCAGTAAAAGGGTACAAATAATACAGAATTTCAAGAATAAAATACAGTAAGATATCACTAGTTAATAGGTTATATATTGTCATCTTTGAAATAGTTGTCCAAATTATAAAATTAAAGCATGTACAGTGAACATTTATAGAATGAGTTTGCAGAATGTGCCGATCAATGATTGAACAAAAGTTCAGTAATATGGATTTCCATCCTATACACTCAAACATACATGCAGCTATATCCCTTAGACCACCTTCCTTTCCTCTCTTTTTAATAACAATTACACTTTTTGGGTTTTTTTACTCCCACAATTCTTATTATTTTTTTGAAGAGAATAAAACCTAACGTGGCTAAACAAAGCAGAGTCGGTTAGAACAAAAGGTTGGGCATAGTACATGATGTAAAAATAAAATATCAGGTGATGTAAAATGCTTACCATTGTGCCTCTGCTATGTTTTTAAAAAGTTGCCTATATCATCAGATATAATAGAATTGATCAAAACAGTACAGAACAAGACTAATAAAACCTACACTGGAGACCTCAGAGGATTTCAAAAGAAGATAATAATCAAACCATAATGGGCATCTTAGTGAATCTTATTGCCTTGAAATTGGTTGCCTATACCCTCAAACTTGATACTATCAACAAAATAGAATATAGTAAAATCTGACAGAACAAGATGGGGAGAGCAATACTGGGCATCATATCAGGTTAATAAGAAAACAAAAATGTTACTGTAATATATACCTCTATTGGGTTCTTCAATATTGTATAACAATGCTATTGATTTTATCTGTGTGTGTGTGTGTTGTATCCTGGTATCCTGATAATGTTGGTTAACAGTTCTAGAATTGTGTGATGGAGGGTTTTGTGTCTTGGAAGTAGAGGATCATGTTATCTGCACATAAAGGTCTTCTGACTCCGTTCTTCCCTACATGTATCCCTTTTATTTCTTACTCTTAAATAATTGTTCAGGCTATTACGTGAATGACCACATTGAACAGCAATGGTGATAAAAACAACTTCTTTGTCTTGTTCCTGATTTTAGAGAGAAGGCTTTCAATGTTTGCCCATGGCATGTGTATTAGCAGTAGATTGGTCATAAATGGCTTTTATCATGTTGAGATGAAGACCTTCTGAACTTACTTTCTTCAGGGTTTTAATCAAGAATGAGTGTTGCATTTTATCACAGGCTTTTTCTGAACCTATTTAAATGATCATGTGGCTTTGGGCCTTGATTCTATGAAGATGAGGAATTTTGTGTTTGTGTTTATTGAGCCATCTTTGTATTCAGGGGCTGAAACCTGTTTGGTAGGGTGCATGATCTTTTTGATAATTTGTTGTATTTGGTTTACTAGTGTCTTAAAGATTTTTGCATCTATGTTCATTAAACAAATTGTCCTTTAATTGTCTTTTATGGTTGTATTCTTTTCTTCTTTGGTGGTGAGGATAATGATAGCTTCCCAGAATGATTTTTGAAGTCCTACCTTTATTTTTATTGCAGAGTTTGCAGAGTATTATTATTAGATGTTCACTGATGTTCTTAAAGAATTTCATTTTGAGCCCGTCAGGTTCTGGTTTTTCTTTTTAAATTTTTTTATTTAAAGAGAAAACAAGAAAAAACAAAACTGAAGGAGGGAAGAAATAATGATTAAAACATAATTTAAAATTAAAAATTAAGAAATCACTAGTTGATAAATCACATATTGTCCTCTTAGAAATAGTTGTTCAAATTACAGAAGTAAATCATACAAAGTAGACATTCAAACAGTGAGACTGCAAACAATTGTGTTCAGTGATCCAACAAAACTTAGTAATATGGTAATTAATCTTACATACTTACCCATGCATGCATTTATATCCGTTAGAGCATCTTCTTTTCTCCTCTTTTTCTTTTTCTTTTTCTTTTTTTTTTTTTTTTTTTTAAAGGCAAGGGAAAGAAACTTTAATTTTGTATGTATGACCTTGCTGGTAATCAACAACAAAGAGTTCCAAGAAATGTGGATGTTAAGGAGGCTAGCAACGTAGCTCTGTGGTAGAGTAGTTCATCTAGCACTGGGTTCACCCCCAGCACTGCAGACAGAAGCAATCAACATGCACGATGGACCACACTTTTCTCTCTACTCTTGGAAAGCTGAGACTTTTGAAACAAAAGATTGAACAGTGGCTGGAGATACTGCCTTGTGGTACAATATCTGCCTACCATGCACCAGGCCCTGAGTTCATCCCTATAACCACTGCCAAAAAAGAAAGGAAAGAAAAAAGCTGGTGCTGGAGATTTAGCTCTGCAGCACAAGCGCCTGCCTTGCAAGTGCGTGGTCGTGAGTTCGATCCCTGGTACCGGTTAAAAAAAAAAAAAAAAAGAAAAAGAAAAAAGAAAGCAAAAGGCAAAAACTAACCATTTTTATTATGTTACAGGAAAAATGCAAGGAAACTAAAGTTTTTAAAATAACGATCTGAAATAGCCTATTTTTAGTGAAGTATCCTGGTCGCTGTGCAGATCTGTCTTCCCATCACTGCTGCCTGGGAGCAGTCACTGAGCTGCCAGTAATGAGGCTGCTCCATGTCCTCGTTCCTGACCGAAGGCTGAGTAGAAATCAACAAGGAGAGGTTTTATACATTTGCATGGGAGGCACCATGTGCCTCCTTCTGTAGGTTAAAATGCAAATCATATGTACATGGAAAAAAAGTCAGCTCACGTAAATTTTACTGTGATTTTAAAATTAATTTGTAATACTCAGTAAATTACCTTTGATATAATTTTGAACTCGGGTTGCATATGTTTTTAAACTTTTTTAAAAAAAATTAGAAAGATGTAGTGTTCCTGAATCCAGAAACTTCTTGCACATGTACGTAGATCGAAGCATGTATTATGATGAAGAACTAAGATTTGCCATTGCAAAGCTGTGGCTGTCATTGACATGGAGACCTTGACAGATGCACTTAATTACGCTTTCTTTTAGCCTAAAATTAAAGGAATTTCTCCTGGTATTCC